GTTCTGCATGTCCCAGACATCCGCAAGAATTTGGTCTCCGGATCTCTTCTTGTTGAGCATGGATTTAGGCTAGTATTTGATGCTAAGAAATTTGTTCTTAGTAAGTTTGGAACTTTCCTTGGTCGTGGCTATCTCGACAAGGGTATGTTTAAAATGAATGTAATGGCCGTGAGCCGTGTAACCGTTTTAAATGATAATGAAAAGCCTATTTCTGTTTATACCGTTGAGTGCTCTGATTTATGGCATATTAGATTGGGACATGTAAATCGAAATGCAATTAAACGGTTGATGAATTTAGAATTAATTCCTAATTCTAAAATTGAATCACATAAGAAATGTGAGATTTGTATTGAAGCAAAAATGGCTAAGTTGCCTTTTCACTCGGTGGAAAGGTGTACTGAACCATTAGGCTTAATCCATACTGATGTATGTGATATGAAAAGTGTGCAAACAAGAACAGGTAAAAAGTATTTTATTACTTTTATCGATGATTGCACAAGGTTTTGCTACTTATATTTATTAAGAAGCAAAGACGAGGCTGTGGAAGCATTTAAAATCTATAAGACCGAAGTTGAAAATCAACTCGGCAAAAGGATTAAAATAATCCGAAGTGATAGGGGTGGGGAGTATGTAGCTCCTTTTGAACAAATATGTTCTGAATATGGCATAATTCATCAAACGACGGCCCCTTATTCTCCACAGTCGAACGGTGTTGCTGAACGCAAGAACCGTACGTTAAAAGAAATGATGAATGCCATGTTGATAAATTCAGGATTACCACAAAACATGTGGGGGGAAGCTGTTTTAACAGCAAATCATATCCTGAATAAAATACCACCTAAAGGGAAAGATGAAACTCCTTACGAAATGTGGAAAAATCGTAAGTCATCTTATAAATACCTAAAAGTGTGGGGGTGTTTGGCTAAGGTTTCAGTACCGGAACCCAAACAAATGAGAATCGGGCCAAAGACGGTCGATTGTGTATTTATTGGATATGCGTACAATAGTACAGCATATAGATTTCTGGTTCATAAATCAGAAAATCCAGAGGTATCTGTTGGTACCACGATTGAGTCGAGGAATGCTATATTCTTTGAGAATATTTTTCCTCTAAAGGAAAGAGCAGAATCTAGTTCTAATAAACGAACGTGTGAAACTGCTAGTGGTTATGTACCAGAGGGTACTGATGAAGAACCGAGACGTAGTAAAAGGTTAAAAACGGCGAAAACGTTTGGACCTGATTTTATTACGTATATGTTGGACGATGAACCGAGTTCCCTTAAGGAAGCTCTGACCAGCCCAGATGGACCACTCTGGGAAGAAGCTGTAAATAGCGAAATCGAGTCCATTATGCAGAACCATACTTGGGAGTTGGTTGATCTCCCTGATGGTTGTAAACCTTTAGGATGCAAGTGGATCCTAAAGAAAAAATATAAAGCTGATGGATCGATTGATAAGTTTAAAGCACGATTGGTGGTCAAAGGCTTTAAACAAAAGGAAGGGTATGATTTCTTTGATACCTATTCACCAGTTACGCGTTTAGCGTCGATAAGAGTGCTCCTCTCGATTGCTGCTCTGCACAATCTTGAGATTCACCAAATGGATGTCAAAACGGCATTTTTGAATGGTGAATTAGAAGAAGAAATATACATGGAACAACCTGAAGGGTTTGTTGCACCTGGACAAGAGAGAAAGGTGTGTAGATTAATCAAATCCTTGTACGGACTGAAACAAGCTCCGAAACAATGGCATTTGAAATTTGATGACGTGATGTTGTCAAATGGTTTCAAAATCAACGAATGTGACAAATGTGTTTATGTCAAGAGTACATCAAATGCATTTGTGATTGTATGTCTATATGTAGACGATATGTTGATCATGGGGAGTAGCCATGAAGTGATCATGGATACGAAAAGAATGTTGAAAAGAAATTTCGACATGAAAGATATGGGTTTGGCTGATGTTATTCTTGGAATAAGGATTATCAGAACTCAAGATGGAGTTGTCTTGTCTCAATCTCATTATGTAGAGAAAGTGCTCAAGAAATTTAATGCCTATGACGGTGCACAGTCTAGGTGTAAGACGCCCCTTGATCTTAGTATAAATCTGGTGGCTAATAAAGGTCAACCAGTGGCTCAGTTGGAATATTCACGGATAATAGGGAGTCTGATGTACTTGACAAATTGTACACGACCAGACTTGGCCTATCCGGTGAGTAAGTTGAGCAGATTTACAAGTAATCCCAGTCATGAGCACTGGAATGCTTTGCGAAGGGTACTTAAGTATTTAAGGTACACTCTTGAATACGGGCTAAAATATTCGAGATATCCAGCCGTACTTGAAGGGTACTGTGATGCAAGCTGGATATCAGATTCGAGAGATTCTCGCTCCACTAGCGGATATGTTTTCTGTATTGGAGGAGGTGCAGTTTCGTGGAAATCCACAAAACAAACGTGTATAGCTCGTTCAACTATGGAATCGGAGTTCATCGCTTTAGATAAAGCTGGTGAAGAAGCCGAGTGGCTTAGAAATTTTTTATCCGATATTCCATGTTGGGATAAGACTTTGCCGCCTGTGATGATTCACTGTGATAGCCAAGCTGCTATAGGAAGGGCACAAAGCAACTTGTATAACGGTAAGTCTAGACATATTCGTCGTAGACATAATACCGTACGACAATTGATCACAAATGGTGTTATTTCCATTGACTATGTGAAGTCTAAGGAAAATTTGGCTGATCCTTTGACGAAAGGATTGAATAGAGATCAATTGAGAGTTTTGCTAGAGGGAATGGGCTTAAAAATCCACAATATAAAGAATGATCATAGTGGTAACCCTACCAAGCTGAGTGGAGATCCCACGAACTTGGTTCAAAGGGAAAACTAAGCTATGAAAATTCAGTTGAGCACTTGGAACATATGAATGGCCAAAGCTATTCCCTAGAGCACTCCAAGTGCAAGATGACCTGTTGATTGTGGTGAGGGTAAGTCATGTGGACTTTTAATGAATCCCTAACCTTGTAAAGGTGGAGTAATACAGGATACTCTTGATAGGGAAGTCACCTATATAAGTGTGAAGTGTGGGCCGCTTCAAATGTAAACACTTATGAATCCAAAGTGATGTCCATGGCCAAAACGGACACAACGATAGAACGAAATGGAGCTAAGACTCTATTGTGTGAATGTCATTGTCTCGGTGTACACTATGGAGGAATAGTTCAAGGCATTATGACTACTAGGCCGCCAGTGCATCCGATGATGTTTACAAAGAGAGGTTCAAAGCCACAAGCTACCTTTTCTAATGCAATAGAGTTTTGTGAGGATTGAGCACAAAGCCTATATATATTTAATCTACACTTTTGTGGGGGATTGTTGGAGAAAAGTGTAGGGGCGGTGCCACATGCAGCCGCCCCAATTGTTTGTTAATTAAAAAAAAAAAAAATTAAATTAAATTAATTAAAATAAAAAAATTGGTTTACAGATCTAGATCCACAATTAATCATAAATTATTGGCCAATTGGCCTAATTACAGACGTCCCAATATGCTCAATTCCCTATAAATAGGGGGAGTTCGGACGGGAGAAAAACACAGAAGAAAAGAAAGAGGAAAGGAAAGAAAGAAAGAGGGAAAGGAAAGTTGAAGGTATAAAAATAATTTTGGAGGGATAAAAATATCAGAGGGAAAAATATAGAAATATTTATTTGTTATCGAAATAACAAAAGAGTGATATTTTTATTCCTAATTTTTAAGTGCTCAATTCTCGACTCCGTTCCAGTTCGCCGGAGCTCGTAAATCTGGTGTGCTACAGATTTAGAGACGTTTGCCGTTGTATCTTTGGGGAAGTTACGCCTAAACCGTTAGCTGCCACACGGGGCGTATTCTTCTTACGGAAAGAGTTTTACTCGCCTCGGCTAAAATCTTTCCGTTTTAAGTTTTAATTTATTTTTCGGTTGTAATTTATTTTTCAGTTCGATTGTAATTTTCTATTTTTTTTAGATTATTTGTAAGAACTGAAAAATACATATCAGTTCGTAGGATTCCCGTGTATTTTTATACATAGTTGTTAACAGTTTGTGTAGTTATTACACTGCCACACATGATTTTTAATGACATTTACCATTCGGGATAACTTTTGAGAAAGCCAAACTTATCATTCAAACATGTATATTACTAGACCACTGAAGATTGAGGTTCAAATTTGTTAGAAAATCAGTTGATAAATATTGGATTTGACCAATTTTTTTATGATTAAAAATTTAATTCCGGTTCAATTAAATCATGTAGAAAAGTTCTATGTTCTGAGTAGTTATTCATGGCGTATATATATTTTCTCAATATTATTTTTCGTGAATAAAAAGTAAATAATTAAAGTTAGCAATTTAAAGGTTATTTAAATTTTGGTTGTGAGATTCAAAATGTCAAGAGAATGTCTCAGACTTTTAAATAAGGATAGTTTTTTTTTTAATTAATATATAGAGAGTCGTATAGGTCACAACAACAATAAGTAAAGGGTAAAACTATGCATCAAGTGTAGGTGCTAAGCCGTATGGGACACAACAATAAGTAAAGGGTAAAACTATGCATCAAGTGTAGTTGCTAACTTCTGCAACACGTACGCGCGTACCAGTCGGCTCGACACGGGCAAGGGCCTAGCCCTTGGCTAGACATGTCAATAAAACTCGTAGGGTCCGCGGTTTATCTGCATTTTTATGTCAGGTTCCGGTATAATTATAGTACCCTGAATCCCAGTCGGGTCGAATTGGGTATAGTTGGAACGCCCACTACCCGACTTATTTACCCACAAGCATATATAATTAATTGAAGCTTTCATTTATATATATGATTTAGCACCAAAAACAGCTCGGTTGACCGTCTTGAGAGGTTGGCTCGGCTAAGACTGGTTAAGGAGGCCATGGTGGTCGTGGCGGCTAGAAGGATGTGGTACCCGTGCGATGGTAGTCGTGATGGTCGCGAGTTTGGCTTGGGAAGACGCAAGTTGAATGTCTGTCGGGGATGGAGCCAAAGTCGATCGACGAGGGCGAAGTGCTCCCCGTCGTTATGTGAACGAGCTTGTCCCTACTAATTATAAAAAAAAGGTTGATATCAACCATGGTCGTCTGCGTTCTCTCGTGCAACCATGGGCATCCAACCGGCCAGCAGAACAAATGGCGCACACCATGGGGCGCCACCAGTTCGCGCTTTCCGACCAATCTACAATTCCGGCCAGACAAAAAACTAGCAACACAGGTCTAACTGTAGCCACCCACGTGAAAAAGCTGGCGAATTCCTCAGTCGCTGCCGCCGCCACGAGGGTAAGGGTGCCAAGGTAGGGCATGGTCATCTGGTCATGAATGAGAATCTAGTTGAAAGGCTACACCAGGTCTAACACTATTGGTAACCTACAACCCAACAAACATACAAAATAAGAACTTAAAAGCATGAACAAGTGAAGAATAAAGACTCTCAACAGGATAATAAAAACACAAAAAATACTTAAAAACACTTGATATACACAAAAACAAAGGGAAACAACTAATAACTAGACTAAAGTCCTCTCCACTAGCCAGAAGAACCCCGAACTGCCACCACTCAAAGCCAGCACCCAAGGAGATCAACTAATAAGGAACAAACCTGACCACGACCTAAGACACATGATCTAGAAACTTCTCCTACAGCTAACCTGACCACTGAAAACCCACACCAAGGCAATCTAGAAACCTGACCAATGGACCCGAAGCCCTCCCAACAGTTCACCACAAAGTCAACCACTGGAGACCCGCACCACAACCCGTTCACGCATAAATCGAAAGTCGAAACAACGCAGCACCGCCACTGTTGGAGGGACTCGTCGTCCCAACACCAGAGATAAGCCAAAATAGAGGAAAACCGTGGCACCGACTTCACCAAGGCGGCAATTAGTGCCCGCCACCTCAAAATCCCCGTTGAATCGTCATACCCTAACTTCGCCGGAGAGAGGGAATTGTGCCCTTGAAAATTGTAATTTTGCCGTTGTGCATTTTTCCCATTTTTATAGGGGGCAAAAATGTAAATTGACCTAAAAGTTTACAAGCTCGTGAAAACGCTCTGTCAGGTTTATCCCAGTTTTGCACACTCTCTCACGACTCACAAGCACCGGACATTTCTATGGCGGCCCTGCCCACCGCCGGCGCCGGCATATCCGCCGCCGAATCGCCGCCGTCCCAGAGTCAGCTCATCCCCAACCTCCCCGAAGACATCTCTCTCCAGATCCTGGCTCGAGTGCCCCGCTTTCACTACCCTCTCCTCTCTCTAGTTTCGAAATCGTGGCGGTCCGCCGTCAGGTCCGCCGAGCTCTTCCTCACCCGATCCATCCTCCGCACGTCCCAATTCTCTCTCTGCCTCACCCTCCGCGTCGACTCCTCCTACCGATGGTACGCCGAGCAGAGAAATCCCCAAAGTTCCAGGCGCTCCCTAACTCCCCTCCCGTCAATCCCACAGCACCTCGTCGGCTCCTCAATCCTCGCCCTAGGATCCAAGATATACGTAATCGGCGGGTCGGTCAACGACGTCCCTTCCAACAGTATCTGGATCTTCGACTGCAGCCTCAGCAAGTGGACCCCGGGCCCCAAGATGCGGGCCGCCCGGGAATTCTCCGCCGCCGGCGCGTGGGGCGGGAGGATCCTCGTGGTGGGCGGGTGCAACGTGGACAGCTGGACCCGATCCGCCAACTGGGCCGAATCCTTCGACCCGAGCACGCGGCTGTGGTCCCCGGTGCCGAGCGCGGTCGAGGTCAGGGACAGGTGGATGCACGCGAGCGCCGTGATTGGGGGCAAGTTCTACGCCATGGCCGACAGGGGCGGGGTGGCGTACGACTTGGGATCCGGTGAGTGGGGGCCCGTGCCCAAGAGGCTGGATCTGGGGTGGCGGGGCCGGGCGGCTGTTGTTGGTGGCGTGCTGTACTGTTACGACTACTTGGGGAAGATCAGAGGGTATGATGTGGAGCGTGATGTGTGGAGAGAGCTGAAAGGTGTGGATGAAAGCCTGCCGGAGTTTCTGTGCAGCTCGGCCATGGTGAATCTGGACGGGCGGCTCTGCGTGGTGTGGGAAGGGAGAGGGAGAGGGAAGGAAGTGGACGTGATGTGTGCGGAGATCGAGGTAGGTAAGGATCTGGATGGGGGCTTGCGGGGGAGGGTTTTGGGGGTGGACGTGATTCTTGTGGCCCCTAAGGGGGCTTCAATCTCGAATTGCGTGGCAGTCGAGTTTTGAACGATGAACGGGCAAATGGAGGTATGTTTTCCTGAATTTTGGTGCGCCGCTTGTGCTGTGTGTTGGATTAGTGATGGATTGTATATCTTTTTTGTTAGATTGTTCTGTATTTGCTTTGCTTGTGTAATTTTCTTGTTCTTCTGGTTGCAATATGAGTGTGACAGATCTTACTTATAAAAAAATTAGTTCGGTGAAACGAATTGGGTTATCCTGTGGTGTGAGTTTCATCTGTTCTCTCAAACTATGGTCTGGAAATGTAAATGCGTAAAACCTAGTGAAAATAGTAAAAAAATGGTGACTTGGTCTCATATCTCGAAAAGGTCGACATCAAGGTCCCAATTTTGAGAGCCTGATTTGTATTTGGGTTTAAATAACAGTGCAGTTTAGAGAAGATGGATAAGGAAGTTGGACGTAGCATGGTTTGTTTGTGTGGAGTTAAATTATCTGAAAATTTGAACTTGGTATTGGATCTACTTGGAATTTGCTTCGAATTCTGTAGGTTACAAGTTACGACCGCTTTGGTTGATGAATGATGATTGCCACTTGCATTTGGGGTTTCTGGTTAGCTTATTGGTACATATTAATATCTTGAAACTATACAATCATTACATGTGAAAAGTAATGAATAATGAAGATATCTCAGGCCAGAAACATGTTCCTCAAACTTCCATTACTTCCTCAATATACCTTTGAGAATTTCTTGATTTGGTATGAGTAAAGGATAATTTGTTTGTTGGTTTGGAGAGTTTTCATGTTATGATTTTTGAGTTAACTCTCCTCATTCTGTGGAGCCTCTTTTGTTAAAAAAAAAATGTGGAGAAAAACTAGAGCTTTCCTAATTCCCTCTTGCAAATTTTTTTCTTTCTTCCTTTTCCTGAATGTGTAAACAGTGCTGTGTCACTCTTTGAATAAAATTTTACCTTTGTTGTGTTCACGTAGCCAAGATATATAAAAATTTCATCTCTTTCTACCGATCATATTATTTGTTGTAATTTTCTGCAGGATGCAATCATCCAAGTGGAAAATCACCTTCAATTGTCAGCCTGCTCTTGCATTGCGATTTCAGATAAGCAGGGCTCTTGCATTGCTGTAAAATGTCCGAATAGTAACACAAAGAAGTGTGTATCCTTTGGGGGGAATATAGATTTAATAATCTGGTTTTTGTAAGTGTATTTCAGATAACCAGGGCTCTTTATCTTTGCAGTTTTTATGTTTTTGAGTGCCTTACCACATGAAAATTTACAAGGGGTGGCTTGTATTATGGTTCATATCATCATATATTAGTATGTGTACTGGAAATTCCACAAGATGTTTTGTTGCCTTATGATACACATAGTTACCTAAGTTATACATGCGACAATTCATGATATGAATATTATTTAGGGGGGTGTATTCAATTCGGAATTTAAGTGACATTTTAAGACTTTTTGAGATTTGAGACTTTCTAGGATTTTCAGATTTTGGAAGAATTCTATGAAATCTCAAGTCCGGAGGTAGGATTTGAAGTGAGATTTCATATAAGGTTTTTTGTTTAGAAATCCCACAAAATCTTAAAAAGTCTTAATAAATCCTAGTGTCAAAAAAATTAAATACCTCAGGATTTTGTAAGACTTTTGAAAATCCCAATTGAATACCCCAGGATTTTTAAAAGTTTTAAAAAGTCTTAACAAATCTAAATTGAATACACCAGGATTTCTAAAGTCTTAAAAAGTCCTTAAAAATCCTAATTAAATACACCCCCCTTAGTTTAGATTTGTTCATTAATTCATTTGAGAATGTTGAAATTTCTGCCAGTTTTTACTACTTTATAGATTCTGTGTGTAGCTTCATGTCATCAGAGCTAATAATAGAATGATCAACTGATGAGTTTTAAGGTGTTCGTGCATCCAAAATTTACACAAGAACACATTTTGTTAACAATGTCAGTACCCTTTAGCTGATTGATCAATTTTTTCAGCATGAATTTTAGTAGCAAGATTCTGAAATTCCAACACTTTTTGCTATGGCACCACAAATTTCAGAATCCAGTAAATGGTTTGATGATCTTGATATTGAGATAGAATTTAAGAAGTATTTTAACTTTAATCATTATATTTTTATTTCGTATTAATTTAATTTATCTCAACAACAACAACAACAACAAAGTCTTTAGTCCCAAACAAGTCGGGGTAGGCTAGAGATGAAACTCAAGAGAACCATCGGTAAGAGAAACACAAAAAGGG